GTACCAAATTTGAAAGCGTTACCTCATTAATAGAGCACCCTTTACCATTTGATGGGGACTGATCCGATTTTGCAACAGTCCGAGTAAAAGAAAATGCAGGTTGGGTTGGTTTAGGAAGTTTTACTGCATCACTTACTGACATAGCAACTACTGATGATATAGTAGGTCTATTTATTGGATCTTCTTGAACGCACAATAATCCAATATGAATAAATTTTAATAATTCAACCGGAACACATGACTGCACCATTGTTGGGTCCATTAGCTCTAACGCTGTTCCTTCACACCATAGCTTCCATGCCTAAAACATTAGGTAAGTAATGAACATATATTAAGAGTATATCACATACTGGATTTTATTCATTAAAGTCACATATAGAGATAGTTACGTACATAAGCAACAAGGCTTTGGCTATCTTCTGAAAGAAAAAATCCGGTATTTTTTCTCCCACTTATAATCTCTAGTAGAAGAACTCCAAAACTAAAAACGTCTAACTTAACTGAAAATATTTCATTCATAGCATACTCTGGAGCCATATATCCACTATAAAACATTCAACCAAAAGAAAGGAAAATAAGTTAAAATAATCAGTATTTTTTCAAGTAATGAGGTTAAATCTGTAAAAGCATATTTGTTTTTCCAAAGATTAAGGAAACAAAACAAAATTGTAAGAAATGTGTACTCACTATGTTCCAACAACTCGATTGGTATTGGCTTCAATTTGGTTTTCACAAAATATCCTCGCCATTCCAAAGTCTGATATCTTTGGTTTCACCTCATGGTCTATCAAGATATTGCCAGTTTTGAGATCATGATAAATAATTTTGAGTCAAGAATCCTCGTGTAAATACAAAAGACCTCGTGCAATGCCATTAATGATGCTTACTTCCGGGCCATTAATGTGTTAAATTTCTCTTATAATATAAATGATTTATTGGTAAAAAAGATGAAAAAAAATTGCATCATAAGAGGTAATTAATTAATAGATAATCTACATCTTAAAAGATGTCTCAAAATTTACGTCCTAAATTATGTGTCATCTTTTTTGGTAATATCATGCCATTCATCAATAAATCACTTCTTTTGAATCTCAACACCATGTGAGATTACACATTACTTCGTATAAGAATTTTGAAATAATTTGTTAAATGAATAGTATTGTTATTAATTAATAGATCCGAGAATATGAACATGAGTAATTAGATACTCTTGTTTTTTAATTAATGCTAACTAAGACTCTAGACGTCAACTCTTGTATCTAAGGTGAAGATCGAGTTTACTTTTTATATATACGAATAGATACTTTGATAGGAGTTTACGAAATTTGTTCATTTTTTTTATATAAGTGAATCCTCTCAAGCTTGAATTATAATTTTTTGCAAAATTTTAGCAACTCTTGCAGGCAAGTTGTGTAAAAGTTAAGTCAGTAATTGAAAAAAAAAAAAACAACGAAATGAATATTTAAAATAAATGTTTTAAAATTTTAAAATTCTATAAGATTAACTGTATTACAAGGCAATATATTTATGGTCTTCCATCTAGACAATAGAGAGCTGAAGAATAATCAAATATTGGCGGAAATTAATGTCACCAAATCAATGAAAGGGGAAGCACTAAAATGAGAGACGACTTGTTGACGCTATTGACTATAAAGACTTGGAAGAATACAATAATATGCATGCATCCTGGAAATTTCTCATGGAAAATAGACTAAACTCTTTGTTATTTCACATTTCAGTTTCAAATGTCGGTGATATTGACCCTATTATTAAAAATTATTATTATTATTATTTTTTTATAAATATCTTCAGAAGTCCATTTTCAATAAATACTAGTCCACTAAGTTATGCCAAGCAGAGCCCTAGTTTCTGAGCAGCGAAATCTAGAATGCCAGGTGGTACGTACCACATTTCACCTATTAATTTTATTTCAAAATCAAAAAATACATCTAGCATATTTATTAAAATTATTATTCTAATGGTACCAAGACGAATCACCATTTACTATAAGAAAAATAGCTTTCGGCATCTAACAAAAATAGATACAGATCATCCAATTTAGGTGTTGATTTTCTTATATATCTAAATTTACGTATTCGTCATTTAGTTGTAGAATCGTTATCTCAGAAAGAATGAGCAATTAAATATTAAATACAGATCATCCAATTTGGCGTGGCATTGTTTAAACACTATAAAAAATATTTTTTTAATTTTTATTATTTATATTTATGTTAATTTGATTATTATTTATATTAATATTTATAACAATAAATTCATAATAATTATATAATTCAAAAAATGATGAAAAATTAAAAACAAAAATTTATTCAATGCAAATATTAAACTACAATAACTCAAAATAAAAATTAACACTAATTTAAAAACACTAAAATTAAAAGAAAATATAACATAAACTAAAATAACAATTTAGTATTTCGGTAGATTAGTTCCGATCCTCTAAAATTATCAAAATATTAGAAAGAACTAAAGTTGTTACATAAAAAGAGAAAGGAAGAGAATATTCTAAGGAATATTTTTGTGTGTGTAATATTTGGTACAATGGATTGGAGATGTAATAGTGTTTCACACCAAAAATCACATCAATTTGATGTTTGTGGTTGGAAATAGTCTTAGTGAGAAAAAATTAGTGGTGAATCCAAAAAATTTAGACGCTGAATATGGAAGGGTAATTTGATAAAAGTATTTTGTGATTATTCTATTAGTTGAAAAATATATCTTTTAATGAACAAAAAATTAGTAGTAAATTTCAATAATTTTAGACGCTGAATGTTGAACCTAAATTTGGTAAATTAATTTTCACTATCATGAAATTAGTTATAGAATGTGTATTTTAATGAGAAAAAATTAGTGGTAATTAAAAGCATTTGGTTTTTAGTTAGTCAATGTGCACGGCCAATTTGGCTTCTTACATTTCATAACTAAATCTTTGATGTGTTCCTGAACTTGAGGATTCTCAAGTGCCCGCATGAACCTATTTGAGTCTGTCCCAATAGGAAACTAAATATTCAAGCAAATTAAAGAATCAAAATGTATTTTTTAGTGAACAAAAAATTAATAGTAAATTTCAATAATTTTAGACGCTAAATGTTGAACTCAAATCTGGTAAATTACTTTCCACCGGTTCTATGAATAAGGAGACTTATTCTCCATGTGGTGAGAAACTGAGAATGATATTAGTCTAATTGGGCCCTTTTTTTTTTGCGACATACTTGATGTTGGCTTCTGTCAAATTTAGTATTATTTTTTATTTTCTTTTGTTTATTTATTTTTTATTACCTAAAATAGTTTGAAATAGACTCCTCTTCTATGCGGATATCCTAAAGTCTTTAACAGATCAAATAAGTAAAAGCTAATAACTGGATGTTAACCACCATTGGGTGGCTTGATAGTAAGAGAACAGAGGAAGATCTAACAAAATCTTCTAAGTTCAAATCCCTTTGATGGTAAAAAAGTAAGATGGTGATCTAATATATTCTTCTAAGTTCGAGTCCTTTTAATGATAAAAGAGTAAAAGAAGAATCTAACATGATCTTCTAAGTTCGAGTCCCTACAGTTGGTAATGCGGTAGCCATTAAAGTTTTTACCTGATCGGTAGTTTTAGGGTCCTGAGAGATTAGTTGAAGTGTGTGTAAACTGTCCCAGACACTTCTAATCATCAAAAAATAAATAATAATAACTGATTGTTCAAATTTAATTTGCATGTGAAAGACTTCAGAACGACCTCACCTGAGTATTTTCCCATATAATTCCTATGAAATACTTAATTTTCACTCTGTAAATCAAATGAAGGAATATAAGTGGCCCCCAAATGGGAAAGATAAGATAATTTTAATTTGACCATTGATTGAAGGTTTAAAAGCTAATGGAAAAAAGCTCTGTTTTAAAAACGGACCGGACCGGCCGGTCGGACCGGTTGGACCAGGAACCGGTAGCTTCTCCGGTCGGTTAGGTCTCAGGGGGGTTTTTGAAATATTTTAATAATGAGGGTTACTTTGTATTTTATAGGGGTATTTTGAAGATATATCAAAAGTTTAGGGATTAATTAATAATTTATTGGGGTATTTTTGGAATAATAAAAAATTTTAGGGATCAATTTGAACTTTTTAGGGGAATTTTGTAATATATTGAGATTTAAGGGTTAATATGGAATTTTTAAAAATAAAATATTGCTGGCGTCATCGGTCCAACCGACCGGTCCAACCGGTTGGACCGATTGAACCGTGACCCGGACAGCAAAACGGTTTGCCCTCCGGTTGGGTTTTAAAACAATGGAAAAAAGAGATCAAAGTGGAAGGAAATTTGGGTGCAGTAGGACGGAAAGCTAATAGGTAATAGGTAGCCAGTTGTGTGACATATGATTGCAAGGGTTTAAATATTCATAGAAAAAAGAGATTAAAATAAATGCATGCATCCAGGAAATTTTCAGGAAAATAGACTAAATTCTTGTGTAGTTCACGTTTCAGTTTCAAAACCAATTTCGTTTTCCAGCAGGTATATGAAAACTCTTTCATGGTAGGATTTAATTTCGCTCTAAAAGTCAGTGATAATGACCATTATTACAATTTTTTTTTTTTTTTTTTTTTTTTTTAAAACATATCTTCATAAGTCCATTTTCAATAAATCTAGTCACTAAGTTATGCCAAGCAGAGCCCTAGTTCCGAGCAGAGAAATATAGAATACCAGGTGGTACGTACCACATTTCACCTAATATGTATTTCAAAATCAAATAATACATCTAGCATATTGTTAAAATTACTATGCCAAGACATATCACCATTAATACTACAAGAAAAATGACTTTTGACATCTAACAAAATTAGATACAGATAGTCCAATTTAGGCATTGAAAGTCTTGTGTCTAAATTTGCGTAGTTGCCATTTAGTTACAAATCGTTGTCCCAGAGAGAAAAGGCAACTAAATATATGCAGCAAACTGAGACTGGAAACTCCTGTGGTGGCCAGACGGTCGTCTGGGAAGTCCAAGGTAACGAAAAAGAGGCCACAAGATGTTGTTGCAATAGCCATTGTAGTATTGATGAACAATGTCCTCATCAAGGAATACAGGAATACACCTCTGCAATAGCAAATAACAATTATAGTGTTGATGAACTATGTTTTCTCATCCAAGTATTTTATACATTTATCATATGTAAGATACCAATGTCAGAAATCATATAATAAAGTCATTACTTACCAATGTCACAAACACATAACAATGAATAAGGACTTAAATCACAAAATGATTTCGATGACAGAACTTTATACCTTTTAAGCCAATGCTTTAGTAAGTGCTTTCTGTCCAATCTCATCTGGCACATTTACTCCAGCCCATCATATCCATCTCGCCTCAACTCCTTCGCACCTCAAACAATACATCCATAATGCATATAGTTTCTCAATTCAAGTGAAAAATGCCATCTCATTAATTAAAACTAAACGAGATATTCAAATAAAACAAGAAATACAATGCAAACACTATAAGAGAATTAAGAATTTGAGTGGACAAACAAATGAAATGATAGTTCAAATGCCACTTACCCAAGGGCACTGATCAGACCCCTAGCACTTATCTCTAGAGACCAAGAGTCTTCACCTGTCCTGCCTGCAGAGACCGGGAGCCTATTGGCCACCACTAGCAGTCGCTGCTTCAAAGGCCTTCCATCTGCCCTTTCACCTCCGTCACTCACCCTTGTACACACTTCCAACTCTTGGTCAACAATAGAGGGTCCCAAGTTGTCATTGTCTTTTACCCTTGGTTCATGCTTATATAATTCAGGCCCCCCATTATTATCAGTCGCTTCAATCAGAAGGGATGCCCTGCAGCTTTTCCTTAGGTCTTTTTCTTTCTTATCTCTTAAGGGCAGTTCCAGAAGATTTGTTGTACTTGGACCGGGGGAGAAATTACTGTTGTAGTTCTTTCTAGGCATAAGCTCACTCTAGAACCAACCGCCAATACCAAATTTATGAGTTCTCACAACAATTGTGTTTCCTACACTTGTTTCAAGTAAATTAAGTTCTTAGTAATTAAAATGATGCACGCTAGGTTTTAATCATCAAAATATCGGGTACCAACTAGTCAAATCCTATTTAGCATTGGCTTTAACAATCGTTACTAACATTCTACGAAAGTGAAATTTCTTGCATTTCTAATTTGAAAAAGAACAAGCATGGACAGTAGATAAATCAAAAAACACACAAACAAATGGCAAGAAGTCAGACAGAATGATAAAAAAGAGGAAGGCATCCACAAAATTACATGAGGCAACAGAAAGTCATCTACCATAGAGTCCTGGTTACTTAAGCCATTATCAAAATCCAACAACCCCAATCTCTTACCATCTGGATTCTCACTTTGACCGCCTGAAGAAAGTAAATTAATAAAAAATGTTTGGACACAAGTGAGATTTGAATGACCAGATCAGTTACAACATGAAAATAGGTTGGGTTTACTGACATTTGTGAACTTCAAAACACGGACTGGAATCGGACGAGAAGATGGTGGAGAAGAGTGGACTATGGAAGAAGAAGATTGAATGAATGAACGACGCCGAGAAGAATAATGGACTGCAGTAGTGAGTGGAGAAGAGAAGATGCGCGCAAATTGAAAGGGGAAATTGGGGAATTAGGGATTGGGAGTTAGGTTGGGTTTATATATATAGAAATGGGTTTTTAGTAAATAAATAGAAAATTTGGTCATTTCTGCTCACTAGTTTTTTTAAGTAAGTTTATAACAAAAGCTTGCCTTTATAGCCATGAAGAATACTCAACATAACTATATTTACATTTTAGCTACACAAATATAATTTTATAACTAAAAACTTAAAAATTCTTACTGTAAAAATAATATCTATGGCAAGTATATTAACATTTTGGTTACGTGACCACTAAATTTATAAATAAAGAAAAAGATCATTTGTCAAATATATAATGAATTCATAACTAAATATTAAATTATTTACTACAGATATATGGAAGTCGTATCTATATATCAAAAGATATTGATATAGATATAATGTGTTAAACTGTTAATAGCTAAATATTGAAATTACTTGTTATGAATATTTTTGATTTGTAGCTAAATATTATAGTTATTTGCTATAGACATATGGTGTTAATAGCTAAATATTGAAATTACTTTTTATGAATACTTTTAATTTGTAACTAAATATTATAATTATTTGCAATGGAACAAATAATTTATATCAAAAATTTATAATTTATTGCTTTGATTAAAATCAATTGTAATAATATTGCTATAATTAACAAATTTAATGTTAATTACGAATTTATAGCAATATTTTTATATTAAATAGATAATATGATGTCATAAGAAAAATTCTAATATAAAAAATAAAACATTGATAAAGTCATTTTCAACCAAATAATTGTTTACTCATAAAATTTTTCATAATTTAAAATGTTATGAACTGATTATTTTGCAAAATATGAATGTTTCAATGTTATAACAACCGTTCCTAGCCATTTAAGAATTTTCAGCAACCCGCAATATCAAATTTAAAAAAAAAAAAATAATAATCATATAGACTAATGTAATCATTGTATCACTTTATGATTAATGTAAAAGAAAAATAGTTTTCATAGTAATATATACAGTTTTCAAAATAACTAACAATTTATCCTATAGTTAAAAGGCAGTATGCTACTCAACTACTAAATCTAACATTAATGTTCTGATTAGTCCATGATAACAGAAGTACCCCAAGCTAAGCAATGAAAAAGCCAACAAAATTTAACCTGACTTTCATTGTCTGGTCACCATTTTCATTGTCTGAGCCCTTAATATTATCAAATGAAGGACTGCCAAGCAATGTCTGTTCCACACGATTCATATCAATTTTGCCAGCTCCACATTCTTGAATGCCTTCACTCTGTATCTGGGTACTTGGCTGTGATGATACAGGAACTTGACCATTATTACGTACAATTGGTCCTTTACCAAGCATCTCAAATCCTCTACTTTTGCTACCTCAAACATAATGATTATGGGTGCGTTTAGCTTATTGTTTTTATCCATATTCCTAACCCTATTATTCCAATATTGTTTAGTACGTTATTCCCAAAATATTAGTCTATTTTTTTAATTGCTTTTAGACCTCATAAGTTTATTAATTTTATTAAATACCCCCCAAAAAAAGTTTAAAAACTAACAAAAACACCCTCACCACCAATACTTTCCAAATTCCAGCAACCACCGCCGGTGGTAGCCGAAATTTGTCACAGCAGTCACACAACCACCGGAAATGGCCGGTAATGGCCAGATCTGGCCGAAAAAGTCAACGACGGCCAAATCTTGGCCATCGTTGACAGACAAGATGGCCTTTTCCGGCTGTCGAAGGCCACATCCGGCCTTACATCTGGCCTTTTTCGGCCAGATCCGTGGTGGATATGGCCGGAAAAGGCCATATCGATTGAATATCCGTCAGATCCGACCGATATGTGTGGTTATCCAATTTTCTGGGTAGATTCCGGCGGTGGGGGCCGGAATCTGACACTGCGGTTGATAGGGGTGTTTTTTTCATTTTACAATATTTTAATATATTGGGGTGTTTATTAAATTAGCAAACCTTGAGGGCTTTTTCATAAATTTTTAAATTTTATCTCGTAATACTCCCCTATCCAACTATCCAATACTATCTCCAAAATCTTACCCAAAATAATAAACCAAACGCACCCTATATGTAACTTGACCTAGCACATTTGCCGACACAGATTATTCACTTAAATTATACTCTTGAGACCGGCATTGGTCCAAAACCCTCCCAACAACTGCAATATTTGATTTACAGAACTGAATAACATAAAATATAGGAGGAAAAAAAAAAAATTAAACAATGCATCAAACGATGATATAAAAATTAAACCTACCAGAAGAAAGAGAATGATTCATATTGGCGCCAGAAAAAGTATCTAATCCTTTAAAGATTGTCACTATATTTTCCACAAAATGCAAAGGCATTAAGTCCGGCAAACATATTACAACATTACAAAAGGTACGAGTGCTTATTTTCTTTTTGAATTGTATTTCAATCGTATCCAATGATTTGATCAAGATCACAAATAAACAACAGTACCTGCTTCACGACATTCAGATTTACATAGAGGGCACTCTGAACCAAACTGTGCTAATCTGGGTATACATGAACTGCAGGGAATTCTTTAAAGATAATTTAAAAATACAACACTTATTTTTCCCATAAAAAATCTAGAATAAAAATAATTTCATAGGAAGATAAAAAAAGGCTTTTTAATGTTTTGTCCAAATGGCGGAAATTCTTACACGGGCCAACCTGAGAGCTGGGAATACCTCACTCGTGATAATCCCACCACACCACGGACCAAAAAATGTTTTACATTCTATTCCATCAAATTAAATTCAACAATTACAAAAATTTGACCTTTCATGTGAAAAACTGTTGCCTTTTCCATTGTACTATCGATTCATAAAGACAATAAAACAACCGAAACGTAAATTTTAAACTAATTCCGCACCTCTCCTTCGTCAACCAAACATAGATGATTAACTAAATTCAAGCCAAACCCCATGCCATATAAAATCATACAATAATCAAACAAAACAAAAACCTAAATTAAAAGCAAACCCAGTTCATAAAATACCTGCCCTTCTCGTTCTCCGCGTGGATCCTTCGAAGAAGCGTGGTCGTTTTTCCGGCAAACATGGGTCCCACAATCACGTGAATTTCATCTGATGATGAAGAATTAGAGGCCTTGGTTTGCAAGATTCGATTTTGAGCAGAAAAAAGCGGGAATTTAGGCGAAGCCATTGGGTTTTAGGTTCAGTATAGATAAATCTTAGGGTTTGAAGAGTTGTACCGTTACAAAAATTGGATTTTGAGGCGAAAGGTGAGGCCTTTGTTAGGTAAAGAGACAAGGGTGTGTGTGTGAATGGTGGGGCTATAAGAGACTTCATGCTTGAAATAGTTAACATGTGGGTTGTGAGAGGGAGAAAGAAGGAGAAGGGTGTAGGGTGTAGGGTTTTGCTTGCTAAGAAAAGAGATTAAAAGTTGGCATGCTTGGGCTTGGCTAAATTTAGGGTTTAAGGGTGAGACTTTGAGCAAGAGGAGATGAGAAGTTACAGAGGTTGAAGGATGAGGGAAAGGCTTCAATCAAGGAAATTAAAGAGAAATATAATTTATTTTTCTATTTTTGCAAAAACAATTGTATTAAATTCCATCATATAACACATATATATTTAATTTAAAATGTAAAATACTTTACATTTCATAAGTCATGTCAAACGAAAAGAAAAAAAACTAAATTTATTTATAGTTTTAGACACATAAAGTTTAAAATTATATATATATATATTAGAATGAATCTAAGCTAGTAAATAAAATAATTGAATGAAATACTAAGAATTATGTCAATATTGAATTAAAGTAATATTAATATGAATATACACAAAGATGGTTATTATTAATTATAAGAAAATAGTGAATATACTAAAATTTTGAATTTATTCCTATTAGTTGGCATAATAAATTACTACAAATAAAAGCATTTATTTGTTGAACTTATTTTCATGAATTAAGGGTTTTTATTCATAGAAAGTTGGTAGGAATCTAGGGGACACATGAGCCACTCCCTAGCAAACTTATTATGTACCATGTGATAAAATTATAATAAAAGTTTTTTAATACATTTCAATAAGCTCAATTTGGGTATGCTTATCCATTGACCATTCATGACTTAATCCAAGTAAATTTATAATCAGACACTTAGTTAATGTTTGATTAGGTATATTTCATAGCTTCTTCAATTGGGTCATGTCTCTTCATTTCTCCAACTAAGAAATTGGGAAAATTAAAAGAATGTGTCTACGAATAAGCTAGCATTGTCTTAGTTGTAAGGTATAAATTTTAGCTCGTTAACAAGAGACATGATTTATATTAGTATGGGATTTTGCTTCAAGTTGTATCTATTTATATTATAATATTTCCAACGCCACGCTTGTATCTAATTGTCTACAATTTCATTTATTTTCAATGATCAACATACATGAGAGAGGATAATCCTTTCTTCTTATAGGATATTATTATTGTTATTATTATTACTTTTTTTTTTTATAACTGAGATGTCTATGCCAACTTATATATATATCAATTATTCTTTAGGGTGAGGTATCCTACAATAACCTACCTTGCGAACCCCTAGGTAAATCATGAGAAAAGATACTATTTTTGTGCCCAACTAGGGATTGAACCTGAGATTGTGAGTTGGAACATTTGCATCCCCCTTGGTTTGCCATATTATTATTTTTATGTATTGATGATCATGATTACTAAACAAGAATTGTCAAATTGACATATAATTTCATTGATCATAATATAAGAATGATCACTTCTTTCGATATTAATGGTTAAAACAAGAACCTGTAATAATATTTCAAGGGTATTTTATAGTTTTCTCATTGATCTTTTAGGGTTAGACAATAGAAAATTTGGTCATTTCTACTCCTCATTATATTTTTAACTAATATTTTATTTACTATTATATATTTCACATTTTGTACATCAAATGAATAAAGATTGGCTGATAAACAGATCTCACAAACCCCACGTGACACTTGAGTTGGCAGCCCCT